GAGATTCATTATGTACTCAGTTTCCATTGTAGAAAGATTATTTGATCAACAGCAGATAAAAATTGAAATAGGGCAAGAGACCAATTAAAGGATGCTCCAATCCTCCAGGGGAGGAATAAAAGGGACCTGTACTGAGGAAGAGGCAGTTGAAATAAAGAACAGGGAGTAGATTCCAGAAATATGTGGAAAGGTAGACTTATGAGAGCCTAACCTCATCAGATTGGTGAATGTGTTAGGATGGAAGAGGGGTCAAGGGTGTCTCTGAAATTTCTGATTTGGGATGACTGCTGAGTGATAACTTCACTCGCTGAGGCTGGGAAGGTAGCTGGGTGAATAGCTTTGGGATAGGACAGTGGTTTGGGGCATGTGATTTCTTGTTTGAAATCCTCATAGGGCATATGGAGATAACCAATAGGAGTTGGACACTTTAGATTTTGTGAAGGTAAAACATTTAAAGTATATCTCAGGCCTTGCAAAGGCCACTCAGTGCAGAGATTCTTTCTTTGGACTACTTCATCTTGTCCCTTGGCCATCTCTGACCTTCAAGAAAGTACCAAAGCCTTTAAATTTTCATTGAAAATTTCAGGGAAAAAGTTAATTTTCTTAATATTTTTATTTCTCTTCAACTACCACTTTGATATCACAAAGCAGAAATTTCTTAAAAGTAGAACAAATTCAACATGATCACTTTCGGAAAATCTGCTCCTTCCCAGTGAAATTTTCATGCTTTCTTTTAAGTTTTTAACTTAGTCCCCGGTACCTGATTCAAGCACGGGTCAGCTCTGAGATTCAGTCCTTATAAAAGCAGACTATGTAATCAGAAACTGTGTCTTATACACTTACGCTAGAGGAGGGCAAAAAGGGAGGAAGAAGGTTTGGGGAAAGGACTGGCCCCCGTGCTCCACACCCTTCAGGGCACTGGCCCCTGAAACTGGAAACTGACAGGGGCTCTTTTAGAAAGACAAGATCAAAAGTTCACTGTGGTGGGATTTATGGTATTTTTGCAACTTAACAACTTTCTATTGGGAGAGGGATATTTAAAAAAAGATAAATAATAAATACTTCCACTGGGTAGTGGATATTTTGCAGATAAACTCTAATTTGCTAATGAAATGCTTAGAGAGGAAAGTTGATCGTGAGTATGTTTGCCCAACTTGGTAAATTTCCTCAAAGTCATTGAATTATATAGTTAACATCGGCGAATTTTATGGCACGTAAATTATACCTTAATAAAGTTATTGGAAACTAAATAAATGATATCCATCCTTGAGTAGAAATCAAACTGATTAGCATTTGAAGGTATACATAGGTCACTATGAAAGTTTTGAGACAGACTGTGTTATGGTCCATTATTTCACTACCAAAAAACAGTCGACGGTGTCCTTTCTGATTCAGCAGTGTAAGTTTCAACTTACTCAGCTTACTGGTATTGCTGGGGGTGGAGGGCTTCCTTTGTTTGCTACCACTCAGATTTTAAGTTCCTTGATTTTTGTATATCTTAAAACTATTCTAATGACCCACGGCATAATGTTAACTATAATCTTGGGAGAACAATGACAGGTAAGACAATGTCATTGTTGCCAAGGAGCTTACAATTCATAGTTGCATTTAAAGCTGTTAATACATCTCCTTCTGTTCAGCATTGGATAAGATACTGATCGTCATTTTGTGAGTTAAAGCCAATGAAGAGAAACTTTATGGAAAACTTTGGACTTGCTAATAGATTTGGAAAATCTGGTTTATGAGAAAAGACAATATAATTGAGGGGGAGGAAAGGGCAAGACAATCTACCAGGAAGAATGTAGGGAATGTGCCAGAAGTTCCTGAGCCCATTGGTTTCTGGTGGCAGTGACAGGTCTCGCTTGCCCAGAGCCTCCAGACGTCAGTCAGGCCGCAGGCAGCTCTCTCTCTGCCTGCGTCCAAAGGCTGTCTTGGAATACAACAACTTGATTAACACGCTGTTATAATGAGATTCTGCTTATTATCATAAAATTTTTGCCTGCACATTCTAGGAAACTTGGAAATTTGCTTAAAAAGTAGAAAAGAGAAAATTTAAATCAAGGACGGCGCCCATTCACACAACAATATTTTTGCATAAAGGCAATAATGTTTTTCTTTGGAGTGCCCCATGGGTTGGTGGCAGTGAGAAAGAATGCCAGTCTTGACCTCTTTGATGCATTGTTAGAACTAATTTGCCTCTGACTGTGTACCACTCTCAGAATGGGTCATCGCTGTTAGAGTCTGCATGATATCCCCTCTAGAAATGTTCCTTATTTAAGCATTCTGCCATCTTTGAACCATCAGTATATAAGAATGCTAATGATATCTCTTTTTAAAATTAACGTAACTTCCTCCTAACCTATGTTCTATGAATTATGGTCACTTAAAAATTCTCTAAAAGAAATTTTCCCTCTTTTCTTTAAAGATGCTGGTCTTTGGTTGGCGACCAACATGTGGGACAGAATCTCTCCATTGGCTCGGGGTGTGACTATAAGGCCATCATTGAACATGAAATCCTGCATGCCTTGGGATTTTACCACGAGCAGTCAAGGACTGACCGGGATGATTATGTGAACATTTGGTGGGATGAAATTATTCCAGGTGTGATTGGGTCAAGATAGCTATTACCTTTATCACTGGCTCAGATCAGTCCTGGAATGACCAGACTGCATCTGTGTGTGTGTGGCCTCTAGTAGGAACACGGGCTATGAATAGGTTACAATTTGTTGGCCTCTTTTGTGGGATATGCTGATCTGACCATAATTCAGCACAGATAAGGGTCTCAGGAACGATGTGCGTTGGTTAACTCAGTGTAGAGGGCAACTGTAAATTAACTGGAAGCTTTGCTTGGTACCAGTGTTTTTGTTTAAACTTTATCTAAATCTGTCTGCTTTCCTGTTTGACTGAGTGATCAGGTTTCTCAGGATGTTAGAGTCATTTTTCTAGATGTGGAGTCTCCTATGGCTCTAGAAGGCTACAGGAGGTTTAGTTGACCATGCAATGACCCTAGGTGACCTATTCTAGAATTTTTTAAAGTTGTTTTGCCAAATCAATGACAGCTGTGTCAAAACAAAACAACCAAAATCAATACTTTTTATCTGAATGAACACTCCCAATTGTGTTATTCTGGCTAATTATCTAGGTTCTAGTTAATCAAAAGTTAGTGGGTATTTTTTCCCTCCTTTCCAGGCTCTTCTCCTCTTCTGCCCTCACCTGTACTACGCAAAAGATAACACAGTTTTATCTTATATTCGACACATGTTATTCTAACAATTTCAATGTTTTTTAATTTTGTCAGATTTCTTTGAATGCTGATTTTCTTCATTGCTTGAGACAACTAAGTAGAGTGCTTTTCATTACATTAAAACATTATTTATTGAACAATTTCCTAATGTGCTGGGGGAAAATAGTCAATGCTAAATTTCTGAAGATAACTATTTTTTAGTAGGAATTATTTCAGGGAGTGGAGAAACATTGTTTTTGGCAGTAAGAGACTAATGCAACTTTAATGAATCGAAAATTCATTTTAACGAATTGAAAATGCCTTAACTATTACCACTCCTGGCTTCCTAAAGCAAACAATCGCCTAGTGTTAAGTGTTTGTTTTACTTAGATCTCAATTTAATGTGTAGATTCATATACTGCAGTACATCTATAATAGTTTTGCTCTTAGGCCCTTGAGAGAACAAGCTTCAAAAGTAAATAGGAATCCTTAAAAGATTTCTGCCAGAACCAGGTTATTTTGGAATAAGGCAGTCAGAGATTTTCCCATGAGGTAGGTCTAGGGCTGACTGACCACACTGAAATCACTTGTAGGGTTTCTCAACCTGTGTCCTCCCTGTTCCTCATTTTCTGAAAATTCTACAAACATGGAGTGCTGCAGGAAGGAGGGAAACTGTGAGTTGTAAAAGCCTAAAGGGTCACAGGTTTGAACCCACACACATACTCCCACCATCGAGCCATCCACCTGCTGAGCCAGAGGCTAAGCCCTACTATTATTCTTTGCTTTCTAGTATAATCTAGACAAGTTTTGGAAAGTATTCACCCAGAGATGAACTAACAGATCAGACTCAACCTAGTTGTCTCCTAGGAGTAATTGTATCTTAACTGGGTGGTGCAGAGGGGCAAGGCGAGGTGACTCACAGATCAAAGGACAATCTCTGATTGTGGAGCTCATGGTACCATTCGACTTTGTCTGTACTCGCCTGCTGGCCTTCCTAATTTCTTACCTCCCTGTAAGAAGATACTTCCTGTACATATCCTTGGCTTTGCTGAAAATTTCATGAGAAAGCAAAAGACATTCCTATTTCCAATTCTTACAGAAGACAAGGTTGAGTACTTTTACGTTGGTTTTAGGCCAAATGAGATCCCCTTTATCAGAGTGAGCCAATGTACTTGCTGGGGTCATTTGCAGGTGCTCAGCTCTGGGTTGGTGATGAGTTGCTCAACATATATTAGCTCATCTCCTATCTGTATTATCTTCAGGTACAATTCCATGTATCTTAAATTGCCAGCCATCACAGGGGAACTGTTCTCAAAAGGGACATCAGATCCAGTCAGATTCATAAACACGTGCAGTATTATTTTGTGGGGGTTATTTATGACTTTTATTGCAACTCATTTTAGTTGATATCAATTTTATTGCTTAACCTTGGAAGACACTTGTCCTGGCACTGTGGCTCTCTCCCTAAGTCCATCTTCCTTGCTTGAGCCAGATTTGTTTTCCACACTGTTCCCTTCCACTAGAGTAAAAAACTAATTTATGCGGTCTAGCAGGGGTAGGCATACCACAGCACACACACCATATCCATTTGGTTTGGTAAAAATTCAATTAGAACACAGTTGTGCCCAAGTGTTTATATCAATAGCAGTTTCTGTGTGACAGTGGCAGAGTTGAGTAGTTGTAACAGACAACAAATGCTTTGCAAGCCAAAAATATTTTCTATTTGTTATAGAAAAAGTTTGCTGATTGACTCATTGCTTACATGATTATTTTCCTTAGATTCTACTCTTTTTAAGACTCTCAGAGGTTAGTTCTCTGAAGGCACAATTATGATTGCCCTATTCAACTTGCACAGCTCCCAGGAGACAGTAAGAGTAAGCATTACAGAAGTGTGTTGAATTTTTTTAATTACTCAAAACATTTATTGGTAAATAATTCCAATAAGAATCCTTGAATAATAAAGAGTAAAAGTAATCTATTCTGGGCTGGGCGTGGTGGCTCATGTCTGTAATCCTAGCACTCTAAGAGGCCAAGGCAAGTGGATTGCCTGAGCTCAGGAGTTCGAGACCAGCCTGAGCAAGAGGGAAATCCTGTCCTTAAAAATAGCTGGATGTTTTCACAGGGGCCTGTAGTCCCAGCTACTTGGGAGGCTGAGGCAAGGAATTGCTTGAGCCCAAGGTTTTGAGGTTGCTGTGAACTATGAAACCACAGCACTCTACTGGGGGCAAGAATGTGAGATGTTATCTCAGAATAAAATAAAATGAAAATAATCTATTCTAACCTAATTGTCTTATGGAAAATTAAATGACATACATCCAGTGAGTTGAAAGTGCCTTGCTTCAGGTGCCACTGAGAGTCACCAAGAAATCCCAGACTCACCACCATCCTGATACTCTTTAGAATTCCATCGCCTCAGATAATATCCTGGGACCAAGTGTTTCTCCTTTCCTGTTTGAGGTCTGCCCCATCTTTGAAATGCTTTGATCCCTCCCAAGTAATACACAATAAAATCCCTGTGATTGGAAGAATTAAAGATCAGTATTCTGCTTTTATAGTTAAAATAAGGTCTTGGTCCCAGCCTGAGTAGGAATAAGACCCTATCCCTACAAAAAAAATGAAAAAACTGAGGCAAGAGGATCACTTGAGCCCAAGAGTTTGAAGTTTCTGTGAGCTACGATGCCATAGCACTCTACCAAGGGCAATAAAGTGAGACTCTGTCTCAAAAAAAAAAAAAAAAAAGGTCTTGGTCAAGGTCTGGCATGTTAGCTTTCCCAAAAGCATTTGGAGGCTCCCTGGAGCACCAGAGCACCGCTGGGTTGCACCACACTTCTTCAGTCCTATGGGGACCTGTGTGTGAGGCACTGACATTTTCACAAAATAATGTGTGTCTTCTTTAGCGTGCCCAGATCTTGGGAGCTTTTTATTGAGTTAACACAAAAGAGAACATGGTGGGCATTTTCATTTACAGGATGGGGAGCTAGAGAAGGAGAAGAACACGAGGATGGGACGTTTTAGGACTAGAAGAGCTAGGAATATTCTCCTTCAGTGTCCTATCACTCCAAAAGAAAGAAATTAAAAATCTGCAAGCCCATCCATTACTGTTTCTGAAATAGTAAATTCCTGATCAACCCCAGGACCAACTGATTAGTTACTTTGTTCAACTTTTCACACTTGCAATGCATCTCCCTTGCACTGATCTCAGAAAAATATTTACCTTTCCTATTTTCATAGAAAAATCAATTTTCTTCTTCCTGTTTTATTTTTGTCTCCATGAGGCTATTTCTGGAACAGAAGGAGTGAGCCTTAACGGGATGTCCCCCTCATGCTTTGAGCTGCTTACTTTTCCCTTTCGCCCTTTAATTTTCTTTTCCTAACCCACAAACAACGGGCTGGGTCCAGCTCTGGACACACTTGGTAGCTGATATACTTGGCTAGTAGAAAGATGAATCATGAACGTAATCAATCAGGAACATTTTCCTAAATTTGAAAATTCTTTCCTGCCACTTGGAATATGTGCCTCAGTTTTCTTATTCTGAAAGGTTATACATACAAACACATAGACTTTCCTAAGTATATTTACAATGCATCCTTGACTTAAATATAATTGATATATTTAGTAATTTATAATAGGCATGTATTCACATTTTATAATGTGTTTTATAGTCATTACAATTTTATACACATTATATATTAGCATCATGGTACTAATTAATATTAATAATCAGTGATGTGTACTAATTATATATTATTGATTACAAAATAAGTATATACATATATATATTTAAATCAAAGATGAATTATTTTCCTTTCTTGGAGCATCTCTGAGTATCTAAGAGGACAGCATGGGGAAAGGAATGTGGCTGAGAGGACCTACGGATTCTCTCCCTCACAGGTTATGAGCACAACTTTAACACCTATGATGATGACTTCATCACGGACCTCAATACACCCTACGATTATGAATCTCTGATGCACTACGCACCTTTCTCATTTAACAAGAATGACAGCATCCCAACCATCACAGCCAAGATTCCTGAGTTCGACTCCATCATCGGGCAGCGCCTGGATTTCAGTGCCCTGGATTTAGAGAGGCTGAACCGAATGTACAATTGCAGTGAGTGCCTGTGGGTCTGAGGACTAGGTGAAGTCACCCCAGAAGATTCCCTCAGCCTGGGAAGTCCCCTTTATATTTTCCTTTCCTTTCCTTTAATGGTCTATTTACGGGAACGTGAATACCTTTGTTGGTCTATCTCCAGAGCAGAAAAAATTATAACATCTACTGCACAAGATGGTTCTAAAAATTAATTCTGCAGTTGTGGTTTGTAAAGTCAAATTATTGGGCAAACGTGAGGAGCCATTATGGCCTCCCTTCTTTGGGTTCCTTTTGAAAGGTGCATCATTGTATACAGGTTAAGATATGCGAGGGGCTAGGAAATATTCTGTATCCTGCACCATTCTTCATCCAGGTTGGTTGGTTAATCTTCTGGGTTGGGCTGTTGTCTAAGATGGTCCTACTATCCAATCTTTGGTTCTGCTCAGTACGTGTGCGCAGAAAATGTTCTAAGTACAAAGCCCATAATTATAAAGACTATGCTTTCAACACAAAAGGGTACATGATTGGCATTTACATAGCAGTGAACGATTACAGGTCTTTTTATTTGACTTTGTGAGACTGATAAGACTGTGTCTATGTTGGCAAGTTTGAAAATTTAACTGATGGCATTGGATTTGCATTTGAGAAAAGGCCTTATGATCCTGTTATATTTGAACAACATGGTCTTAGTGGCTTAAGACTTTAGCTATTTGGAATGAGATGCCTTATATTTTTAATCATGTCATTTGCAGCCACACCTCAAACCCTTTTGGACCACTGTGCTTTTGAGAAGGCAAACATCTGCGGGATGATTCAGGGCACCAGAGATGACGCTGACTGGGTCCACGAGGACAGTGCTCAGGCTGGACAAGTGGACCACACGTTGCTGGGACGATGCTCAGGTCTGTGAAGGTGGGAGGTAAACACAGTGAGGTGGTTCACCAGGTTCAATTAGCTGATGCCAGCCAGCGTGTCATGACTCAATCAGAATGTTAGTTATCAAACCAGAAACATCTCAACAAGGACAAAGAACATCTCTTACACCTTAATTATTAACTCAATAAGAAGCACCCAGAATCTGGGCATGCTAAAGAAAGAAGCATTTAAGCAAAACTGATATGCACATATGATAAGATAGAACTTTGCAATAAGGGTAATGTCTCTGAAGCAGTAACCTCTAATCTGTGTAGAAACATAATGTGAGGCTCGGTGCCTGTGGCTCAAGTGGCTAAGGTGCCAGCCACATACACCTAAGGTGGTGGGTTCGAATCCAGCCCAGGCCCACAAAGCAACAAAAAAATAGCCAGGTGGTGTGGTGGGCGCCTGTGGTCCCAGCTACTTGGGAGGCGGAGGTAGGAGACTCGCTTGAGCCCAGGAGTTGGAGGTTGCTGTGAGCTGTGATGCCACAGCACTCTACCCAGGGTGATGGCTTGAGGCTCTGTCTCAAAAAAAAAAAAAAAAGAAAGAAACATAATGTGAGCCACATCTTAATGTCAGTTTTTCTAATAGCACAGAAAAAAATGAAAGGAAACAGGTGAAATTACCTTTAATAATATCTTTTATTTAGCCTAATATATCAAAAATATCAGCATTTCAACATATGAAGATTATCAAAATTATTATGAGATGCTTCTCTATGAAGTATCTGAGATCATATCTTGTCCCTGCAGCAGTCTCAGACTGGACTGGCCACGTGTAGGCACTCGATAGCCACCTTGGTCTGGTCGCCACCATCTCGGATAACATAGCTTCAGATAGTTTTTATATATGTCTTGTGTGGTGAAAAACCATAGAGTCAGACAGTCCTGGTTTGAAATATGGCCCTAACACTTACCATTTGAATTGTGACCACAGGACGTCGTTACTGTATGCATGCCCTTTCTTCTTTTCTTTTCTCTTGGCTTTTGTGAGCCTCTCTGAACATCAAGGTATTGTTACTTACTTTATAGTGAGGATAGAAGAAGGCAGGGCATACACAGCACCCACACACTGACCAGCGGCTTCTCTACCCATTTTTTCCATCTTTTCCATGGAAAGATGAAAAAATCATCATCTCAACCCTACTGGGAAGCAGGTGGGGTTACAGATGATAGTAGCTTTTTAATCACTGTACTGTCGTGAAATCCCTTAGTCCTTGAAGAATTGGTTAGATTCCCTCCCCAGAAGGGACCCAGGCTGTCACCCAGATGCCAGGACACCAGGGGGAATGCCAGCTGTCATAAGCCACTGCCGCTCTTATCTGTGTCCTTGGCAGAGGGTACAAGTCTCTCTCACATATCAGATTATCAACATCTGGTATCATCCCAAGGGTCCAAAGGTTGACCCAAGACTGAAGTTGTCTCTAAATTTCAATTACAGCCTCTAATCCAACCTCTCCTGTGGGCTTGTTGCTAGGCTAAGGTACAATTTCTAGCTAGGTAGAATGGTGATCTTCATGTGAAAAGAACCTGCCAGAAGAATATTCTAGCACCTTGTAAGGAAGGAAAGGACCACGCCCTGGAAGATATATCTGGAAAAGCTCCATAGGTTAACTGTACTAGCCATTATACCACTTTCACAGGAGGCATTTAACGAAACTCTGTCCTCCAATAGGAAGCTCTTGTTTGCATTGTTCAAGTGGAAGCACAGACTCAAATATCTTGAAGGATCTCTTAGGACAGAGCACACCTTCCGTCTGATACCCAGAGAAATGAATGAACACCTTGTTTCAGACTTGGAGCAAGAATTCAGGCTTCCTGTGTTCTAGGCATAAGTTACTTGATTTTCACTTCACCCTTCCTGGTACACCTGGATAGGAATTCCTAAACAAGGAACAAGGAAGTCTTAGGGACTTTCTTTAGCCTTGCACACTCTCTGGTTTTTTGTTTTTTTTTTTTAACCCACGATTCAGTAATTTATAATGCAGAGGTCACATGTCAGTTAGTTCAAATATTGGAAAAAACATACAGGGAAATAAAATTTTCCCTGATGTAATATTAAAGCCATTAGGATACCTTTAAACTTGTGGAAAGCTTATCTAAACCATCAGTACTTACTACCATTATGGAAGCCAAGTGCCTCATGCGTGAAGCAGGAAGAAACAGAGAGTACTAGGGAGTACTGCAGAGTACCAGGGAGTACCGCAGGGTACCAGGGAGTATTACAGAGTACTCAGCACTGTAACGTACATTCACTTTATTTTTACCTTGTGAAATGTTTTGATTAGAGCGTTTTAATAAGTGGTTGAGTGCTGGGGTACGGTTTGAAAGGTTTCTTTATATGCAAGCATTTTTCTTTGTGCTCGACTTTGAAAAGTGCAGTTTTCCAAATGACACACCCAGTATTTGTTTAGTTGCTTGCCCATTTTTAGGGGAAAGAGTTTTGAGACAGGTGAGTTAAGCAAACCTCTGGTCCAAATGTAAACACTTTTCACCCTCTTTTTCAGTGTTCTCCCAAAGCTTTCCTTTACATTTAGAAAAAATCCTCAGTCCCTAAGAGGTCTTGAATGCTCCTTCTTATAATAAAGACAATTCTTGGGCAGCACCTGTGGCTCAAAGGAGTAGGGCGCTGATCCCATATGCCAGAGGTGGTGGGTTCAAGCCCAGCCCTGGCCAAAAACTGCAAAAAAAAAAAAAAAAAAAAAAAGACAATTCTTTTTTCACTGTTAACATATCTATTAGGCTAGCAACAGGAGAAATTGAGGTCTTATTGTAATGAATATTTAAAGTACAAATCCAAAAGCTTTGGATCCTCCAGTTTCTCATATAATGAAGAAACCAGCTCTTCTTTGAAATGAATCTCTCATTTAAACCATAAAGTCAGTGAGGAAAATAGAATTTGTCTCACAGACATCAAATTTCATCAATCTTTGCTTGAAAGCTGTATTTCTTTAAGGTACATATTTCACAAATTTGGGAACAAATGCAATCACAAGAGACAATTTTGTAAATATCTAAAGAGACAGTTTTGTAAATAACCCAACAATTAAGGGAGGTGAAGGCTATGTTAACCAGCTTGGGGTAAGCATTCTAAATTATATATAAAATCAGCACATTGTACCCCATAAATGCACATAGTTATGATTTAATAAAAAAATTAAGATTAAGAAAAAGATAGTAGAGAGACAGCCTTAGCCAGTGACTAGGTCCACTGAGATGCAGAATATCTGCTGGCAGTCAGCCTTTGTGCTTTCCCCAGAAGAGTTCTAGCTTGCGTCGCCTGGGAAGTAGCTGGTGTTCACTATTTCACTCTGCCTGGGCTGTGGGAGGCCGGACCTGGATTTTTGGGGTGTTCTTTCCCTAGGTGCTGGCTACTTCATGCGATTTGACACCAGCTCAGGGGCCAAGGAAGAGGCGGCCCTCCTGGAGTCTCGGATTCTCTACCCCAAGAGGAAGCAGCAGTGCCTGCAGTTTTTCTACAAAATGACAGGAAGCCGGTCGGACAGACTCACCATCTGGGTCAGGAGGGACGACAGCACGGGCAACGTGCGCAAGCTGGTCAAGGTGGAGACCTTGCAAGGTACTTGGAGGCATTCACAGCAGGACCAGTTGCCTGAAAAGTGGGTCTGTGCTCCTTCCTTTCTCCATTTTCTCCTCTTTCTCCTCTTCCCTTTTCTCCCTTGCCCCTTCCTCCGTCCTCTCCCCTTTCCCTCCCTCTTCCTCCTCCTCTCTTTCTTCTCCTCCCTCCTTTCTCCTTCTCTAAGAGCCCAGCATAATGTCTGGCATGTCATATTACCCTATGAATGTTTAACCACCCAGAATTAAAGAAGCAGCATTGGGGATCTTGGTGAGGCTGAAATAACTTTTGTAAGAGGCCAGTTGGGACATACAAATCCAGTTTTAACATGCACTACAGAGAACACAGGGGCCAGGACTGAGAAAACAGATGATTCAGGGGAGATCAGGAGATCAGAATGTAGAAAGGATGTGGTAATCAGTGCTGCTGAAGAGAAAGTAGTTACACTGTTGACCATAGGTGTTTCTGCACCTGTTTCAGAAAACTAAATGATGCCATTATTCAATATGCTGAAGAAGTCTGCTTATGAAGTTGGTGGGAAACAAGTGATTTGGACGTGTTAACCTCACTATAATCATGTACATGTTGCTAAGTGTTACTCTGTATATGTTTATAAGAAGGTCAGCATGAATACCTTAACATGCTAAGGTGGGCAGTCCAATGTTGAAGGTAATCTGGCCGCAAGTCAAGATTCAGGGTTATAAAGTTAAGTATTTACATTCTTTCGTTGTGGTGGTACGTTCATACCTAGGAAAAGAGGGACAAGCTTTCCTACTTGCCCACTCAACAAAGAATTTTTTAATTAACACGAGTCCAGAGAAAAAAATTACTTTTTGTATATCTCTAGAAGAAATTGCTGTTCTTGAAGGGGAGAAGCTTTCTTAGAAGCCACGCATAAGAAGAGGTGTCTGAATCACCTCTATCTAGGCCATTCTGTGGGGTCCCTGGGAACTCCACAAGTACTGGTTGAGAGTGGATCACTTTTCTGGCTGAAATTTATCATAGCGGGTTTGATGGGAAACGACAGCTAGATGAACTTTAAAAGTTGAGAATTTCTTTTCTTACCAAGAATTGTAAATATTTAATAAGAAAATAAGTTAGTGTTTCAACAATATTGATGGGAACTGTTCTTAGTCACTTTCATCTGAAGCTTAAAATTTTATCCTCATATGCATAAAATCACCCGAGCAAACATTCCGTGATTGATCCAGTTTTGTTGGGTTTTTTTGAGACAGAGTCTCACTATGTTGCCCTCGGTAGAGTGCTGTGGCATCACAGCTCACAGTAACTTCCAATTCCTGGGCTTAAGCGATTCTCTTGCTTCAGCCTCTCAAGTAGCTGGGACTACAGGCGCCCACCACAATGCCTGGCTATTTTTTGTACTTGCCATTGTTGTTTGGCAGGCCCAGGCTGGATTTGAACCTACCAGCCAATGGCTTGTGGCTGGCGCCCTAGCTGCTGAGCTATAGGCGCTGAGCCAGACTGATTCAGTTTTTTAAACTGTTGTGCTTTGTGTCCCATTGAATTCAAAGTATGTCTTCTATAGTTCCCTGAAAACACTATTCAAATGGATTTTTAAAGTGTTACATTCTGATACTGGCTCATAAATGAAACTTTTCTAAGAGGTTAATCGAGTATTATTTAGTGTTATGTGATATTCAACTTAAGATAATTGTAACTACTTCAAATGCCTTTTAGCTTTGATAAAATGTATTTTAGAACTGAGATGCTTACATACAAAATGTGTCTCTATATACATGAATATCTGTAAAACATATAATGCGTAATGCTTATATACAAACTTACACCAAAAATGCTTGCATACAAACATGTGTATGTACACACACATGCACATACTTAGTTTTTAGTGAGGTCGGGGATCACAAATATGAACACATTTTAGCCAACATGATTCCCCACCTAAGATGTAGCAATTTCTTTTGCTCTTTAAGCTCAATGGCTAGGGCACATCCTGGGCAAAATATCAAAGTGGGGACATGTCTTGGGGGAATTCTGAGCTGCAGTGTCCTTGCCGTTTCTCCTGCGACAGTATCCCCAAGCACCTGGCTTCTTACCCACTTACCATAGCTCTTTATTCAAAAGTCCCACTTTCAGCTCAGTCTCAGGAAAAAAGCAAGTAGACCTAATTCTCACTAGAATGTGGATATCTAGATAATATCTTGGAGGATTTGAATCTCCTACTTGGTGGGGTTTCAGATAATATATATATGAAGAAGAGAGAAAAACCAAGATGTTAGGGAAGGAGTCAGTCTCGAGTAGGGAAGATCCAGGGTATCCTGAGTGATCAGCTACTCTCCAGCCTTCCATACAGCTCTGCTGGGAACAGGGCATAGGCTGGAGCATGTGGAATTCTGCTGTGTCTCATGGTTCAGCCTAATGTTTGTGCTTGGGCATTCAGCGCTAGCAATGGTGAGCAGGGTTCAGTTGAGCCAGAAAGCTCAGGAGGAAATCCAGAACCCGTGGAATTACCTGACAGTGTGTGTGTGGGGGGCGTTATTATGGTTTAAATATGAATTTTAAAATAAATTGCAGTTTTCTTTAGAAAAAGCTCTTTACCCTTGCTAGACATATACAGGGACTTAACCAGTTTATAACAGTGAGTGCTTTATGGAGTCGTCGTGAGAACTGAATGAGGTAATTTGCAAAAGCTTCTGATACAATGCCAGACCCACAGTAAGTAGCCGTGAAGCATTGAACGCACTCGTCACCAGCCTTATCCCCTGTCCTCAGGAGATGCTGACCAGGATTGGAAAATTGCCCATGTGACACTAAAAGAGGAAATGAAGTTTCGCTACCTTTTCCAGGGCACAAGGGGTGACCCTCAGAACTCCAATGGGGGGATTTACCTGGATGACATCACTCTGACAGAAACCCCCTGCCCCACCGGGGTTTGGACAATACGGAATTTCTCTCAGGTCCTTGGGAACACGAGCCCCGGGGAAAAGCTGCAGAGCCCTCGGTTCTACAATTCCGAGGGATATGGTTTTGGCCTGACGCTCTACCCCAATGGCAGAACAACCTCCAGCAGATCCGGCTACCTGAGACTTGCTTTTCACTTGTGCAGCGGGGAGAATGATGCTCTCCTGGAGTGGCCAGCGGAAAACAGGCAGGCAGTAATAACCATACTCGACCAGGAGACCGATGTCAGAAATCGGATGTCCTCGAGCATGGTGTTCACCACCTCAACATCTCATACATCTCCAGGTGGGTAGTTTGAGCATAAATAAGAACACCCTCCCTACCCATCTGGAAGGGTCTTAGCAGTGTAAGAACGAATAGCTTCCTTTAACATTTTCTCCTTGGACATATTGGTAAGAAAGCCACGTTGGAGCACCAACATACAATGTCCACGGCCATCTCATCCTCCTTCTGTTCCTACGCTCAGCCATCAAGCATCTGCTGAGGGCTCACCCAAGGCCAGACTCTGTGTGGTACTTAGAATACAAGCACATCAGGTGGTTCCTGCCTCACTGAGCTCATCTAGTTGAGAAGACAGATGCCGCTAGTCATTTATCAAATACTCAGAACTTGCTAATCTCTGTGGCGAGTTAACGTACTTCCAAAATATTATTGCATGTCAGTGTGTCCATGAAATAATCTTACATCAGTAAATGAATGAGCAAACTATTTCCAAAAGAAAAAATAATTAATAGTTATTATTAATTAATAATATTAATAAAATTGGAAAGCGAAGCCTGAAGAAGAAATGTGATTTTATGTTATCTGTACTTTGCAGCAATCAATGATTCTGTCGTCTGGGACAGGCCGTCCAGAGTGGGATCCTATTATAACGACTGTGACTGTTTTAGAAGCCTCGACTGGGGATGGGATTATTTTATCTCCCACGAAATGCTGAAAAAGAGAAGCTTCCTTAAAAATGATGACCTCATCATTTTTGTAGATTTTCAAGGTACCTTTGTTGGTCTTTCTGAATAATCCTGGGCTCTGAGTACTCTCGGATTTGACCATGATTTTAAAGCCAATGGAGGGTGGGGATCTTTTTTTAGAACCAGGTAAAAAAAAAACAAAAAACATAAATGTATTGTAGCAGAACCACGTTTTATTCCATTTGTGAAGGATTCTTATCTTCAACTGTCCTTGGGAGAAGCTGTACTTGTTAACAGTTTGCTCATTTTGGTCTCATTTTGATCAGCCTATTCGTGTTAACATTATGCTTCTTTTCGCAAGGTCAATATATGAAAATATGACGAGGCTACTTTAACAGAAACCTAGCTGCGATTATGAGACTCAGTGGGATGCAAAGCTGTTTTTCCATGTCACTAAGGGTGACGTCTCTGAGGGATAGAGGCGGCCCAGAGAAATTCCTCCAGCAGTAGAAGTTAGTTGTAGATGGTTATTCACTCTGGGTCTTCCTCATGATCTTTTGTTCATTTCCTGAAGATATCACCCACCTGAACCAAACTGAAGTTCCCACCGAAAGCAAAAGACGGAGCCACGAAGGCCTTGTTCTCCAAGGCCAGGAGCAGCAGGCCTCTGAAGCAGGTTCAGAGCAGGCTGTGTCAATGGAAGCCCAACCCCAGGACCACCCCAGCAGGCAGAAGCGGTCAGTGGAGAACACAGGCCCCCTGGAGGACCACAACTGGCCACAGTACTTCAGAGACCCCTGTGACCCAAACCCTTGCCAAAATGACGGCATCTGTGTGAACGTGAAGGGGATGGCGAGCTGCAGGTAGGCTCTGTGGTCAGGGGTAGGTGGTGGGGCCGAGGCCTGGAGGAGGGTGTGTGCTCACCCCGTGCAGGGCAGTGTTCAGGGGATAGGGTGAAGATGATGTCATGCGGTTTGCCTTGACTCTACAGAGGTGTGCCCTCGATCCTTGGGCTTATGCTACCAACACAGAAGAGACCCCAGTCTCTCATCTGTCAGCCTTTATCCCTTTTCTACCTCTGGGTCATGGTCACCAACATCTAGGACATTGTTGGAAATTCTCTCTCATCACAATCCTCACAAAAGACCCAGGACTTTTAGCCTAGGGACTTTCTACTCTGTGTGACCTGCCACAGTGGGACTCATCACCAAGCCAAAGTCATCACTGGTTGCAGATGTTATTATGAGTTATCAATTATTATTATTAGTTGTAAAGTCTGTCAGTTCTATGGTACTATGGTTATAGTTATGTCTTCTCTCTCTTTTTTTTTTTTTTAGAGACAGAGTCTCATTTTTTTTAATTAGAATTTTTTATTTTTATTTTTATGATTTATTTATTTTGTAGTTTTCTGCCGGGTCTGGGTTTGAACCCATCACCCTTGGTATATGGGGCCAGTGCCCTACCAGCTGAGCCACAGGCACGGCTTCCATATAGCTACGTACGTTTTCAATGATCGTGATAAGAACATCTGATATTTTTTGACTCCTTGCTTTGCGTCCTGTGCTGTCTCCCCAGCATCTCACATGCTGATTGATCTAAATTACTTCTCAGTGCCACCTGTGACACAGGGCTCTTACCAGCCCCATTTAGCGTATCAAGAAGTTGAAGCTGAGAAAGTTTAAGTCATTTCCCTAAAATTAAATGCATGGAAAATGCCGGATGTGGGACTTGCCCCCAGGTTTGTCTAGCTGCACACTTTGCTGTACTTCATAGACCTTTTTATATGTTTGCTTCCATAAAAACCAAAAACATGACAGCAGAGGCACCGGCTGCATTTGAACAGTTGCGGCTGTGGGAACCATTCTGCCACTCTGCCTGCCTCCAACATCCACATTTCTTCTGAGCTCTTTTCAATGATTACTTTGTTTCTTATTTTTCAAACTTTTGGACTTAGGGATACAGTGCAAAAATACTGCAGAGAGCTCCCTTCTCCCACCTTTCCCAAAGTTAATTCCCCAATGTTAACGTCTTACACAGAACACAGTACAACCAGCAAAGCCAAGGAGTGCACACCGGTCCAATGTTATTAACTAAACAACAGGCCTTACTCATAGTTCCTGTTTTGAGGGGGGGGGTTGCAGATTTTGGCCGGGGCTGGGTTTGAACCCACCACCTCTGGTATATGGGGCTGGCGCCCTACTCCTCTGAGCCACAGGCACCGCCCTGTATTTCCTGTTTTTCCACTAATGTCTTTTCCTGTTCCAGGATCCAATTTGGGATGCCACATGATATTCTGTTTTATGTCTTCTAGCCTCCTCTAGTCTGGGAAGATTCCTCAGTCTTGTCTTTTATTAATTTGACACTTCTAAAGATTATGGATCAAGCTTTTGTTCTTATAATTTTTTGGTCCATCTGGTTCTGTCTTGTCTTCTCATGATTAGATTGAGGTCGTGCATTCGTGGAGAGATTGGTGCCTTCCTCAGGGCATCCTGTGAGTGGACCTCAGACGCTGGTGTGTGTCACTGCTGGTGACGCCGGCCTTGTTATCTGGCCAAGAGGGGGTCACCCAGGCCTCTCTCCTGCAGAGTTACCATCCCTCCCTCTGTAATTGATACATATCATGGAGACATATTCCTAGATCATGGAGGCAATCTGCTTTTCCTGAAATCCTCACCCGCTAACTCCAGTGTCCATTGGTGGGTCCTGCTTGCAACAATCACCACTGGGATCTCTTAATGGTGATTTCCTGTTTCTTCTGCTCTCTCCATATTCATGAAGTTGAATTCTTCTATGAAGAATAACAGCCCCTTCTCCCCACTGATTTATTCATGTTTTAATTAGTTTATTGGTGTCACTGAGGAATCACAGACATTTATTTCATTCTGTGAGCGACCTTGCAATCATTCCTGATTTATTCTGCTGCCCCTGCTGTCCCAGCTTTGGCCTTCAGGAGCTCTTCCAGGCAGGCTCCTGGGCTCTTTCAACATGCACTGTACTTTTATGAACACAATTTTCATTTCTGGCAACACAAGATGCTCCAGACTCCAGACTCATCTTCTATTTTCCCAGCCCCGGGCCCAGCATCAGTCACTTCTGCAGGGAGCCCTCCGGGTCCTTTTATTGGAGAAGGCCCACCTTGTTTGGGGGCTCCCAAGCCCTGGGTTTGCACCTCTTTGCTGGACAGGTGCCAGATTTCAATACTTGCCCTGCTCATTTCATCCTCATTTCAAACCTGAAGCCTGAAGTTTGTGGAATGAGCCTTTCTAGGAAATACAATAAGCTGTATTTGGAGGGGACTTAGTCAGGAAAAAACATGGAACAAACTTGCTATTACTCATCCCCAGGCTGGAGACGATGAGGGTTTGAAAAAAACTGTTCAGAATTACAAAAAGGGGATGTTGGCTTCTGAGCATTTCACTGTGCTCTGTAGAATTCTGCTGAGTAGACGTTCTAATAGGAATGTTTGAAATAAGCACTGGAGTTGTTATAATAGAATTAATACCTTAGTTCTGAGATTAATTGACATTTATATCAAATAACAATAAAATATAAAGTACAGCTATTATGTGCCTACTGTGTGCCAAATACACATACATTGATAAGTGCAATGATCTCATTATCTCATGTGACCCTCAAGGCAACCTTGTGAGATGGTGGCCATGTACTGGCCTTCCAGTGATATTTTTATTAATGTTGGTTAGATGTTTTCATGCTACAACCAACACACTAAGTCAGACTCTCTCTGGGAATTCCTTCATAGCTGACAGACTCAGCCAGTGTCGGGCAACATGTAATGTGTCCCAAACTTTCCTCCTGAATCCTTGGTGGCCAAGAGGTCTAAATCTGAAGCCATACCTGTCAGGATTAAACTTCAAGCATGAAACATTTGCTAACAGTATATGACCTTGAACAAGTTATTTAACCTTACCATGAAATGAGAATGATGAGGGCA